TTAAACGCCACAAATCGTATTTTAGCAGGCGTCCATAAGTCGCAGCAGAGAATGTTGATGAGTAGAGAAGGAGCAAATGTTAGCAGTACTAAAATGTTAATTACGATGGAGGAACCAGAGAATGTTGAAGAGTAGAGAAGGAGCAAATGTTAGCAGTACTAAAATGTTAATTGCTAAGAAGGAACATCGAAAACGCGCAAGTTCGAAAATAAAATGTCACCACAACTATCAGGGTACGAAACGAACTACACCACTCTATAAGCAAAATGTATATACATACATATGCGCAGATGTTCTTTGATATGCGCATAAACAAAACTTAAAATAATAAAAAGGAAAATAACTGACTTATGAAAAGAAAATATAAGTAATGAGGGAAATAATATGAAAATAGAACTAAAATATCATTTAATATAAAAGAGTTATAAAAATAAAAAAAGAGTATATAAAAATATGTGATAGGATATGAACTTAGGCAAAATATTTTACATTGCCATAAAGAAGTGTGCTATACAAGCAGCACCACAGACGACATTCGAGTAATTTCGTCTAATCTGTAAACTGAAACAGCTATTGTTGCTTCAATGTTCATATGTCTATATGTGAATATTCTTGAAATTGCCTTCCTTCATTCGCATGTCCAAATATATTTGCATATATGTACACATATGTACATATGTATGTCCATCAATATGTCTTTCGCAAAAAATCTAACATTCGCGCAAGTGACAAAAAAAGCGTAGACGCACCATCATCGGCCAATAATATTCAAGCGAACTCGCGGCATATTTTCTAAGTATTTTATATTACAACGACAACAAATTCATTCATAAGGAACGTGCGCTGCTTCAAAGCAAAGTGCGTTCGTTCATAACTCTGCGCCGCGCTATATTTTCTGTGCGCCTGGTAAACCACATTTGGTTTTCATATAGAATTCCAATGCAAATGCGCGAATATAAAAATGAATGAAATTGAATTTGAATGCCTTCAGTAAAATTGAAGAATCAGCAAAATTTCAATTTTACAATTTGTATCACTGAAAATCCTACCATCCCCCTCGCATTTGTATGTTGCCCACAAGCTGCTTCCTCACAACATTTGCTAAAAATCAGAAATTGTTCACTTCAGAAAGGAGAATTGGCAACATGACCTATTCGAGTTTAAATAATTTTTATATTTTTTCATATTATGCACTATTTATGGCATTAAATTAAAAAATTTATATCAAATTGACATTCATATGAAATCATTAACTACTTCTATATATTCTAAGCACAGTCCATATAGTACTTTTATATGTTTACTTATTATCATTGTTTCATAGTTTTTCGATTTAGCCCATTTTATCTAAATACGACGCTATGAAAATGCAGCCCAATTGGTAATCGCAATATTTCAAAGAGCATGATCCAACTTTCAATAAACCACTGCAAAAGGACAAACGAGACAACATAATACGATCGACATTGTCGCAAAATTATCGATTGAAACAAATTTGTCAACTCCACGACGATGCATAAAATTTGGCGTCAATAATGCGAGCTCCGTTCGTTTGTATGTATGTATATAAATATGTATGTTTGTCGGCAAAGTCGTCATTTGGTTTTCAACAACACAATGTCCGCGCGAACTCATACCATTATTTCGTTATTTGCCACCATGCACATAGGCGTGTCAAATTGAGGGGCTCATAATAGTATTGATATATTTGCTTAATTTGTATTGAAAATACTGATGCATTTATGAATTATTTTATTACTATAATATATATTATAAATAAATTCATACCTATAATCGTTTCAAACTGAATTCGATAAATAAAATATATATCTCTGAAATAATTATGTGGCGGTGCGCCCCAATCCTCCTTGCCTGCGATCGTTCAACTCGCAAAAAGCAAAAGCGTAGACAAAAATACCATTGCTTGTGCGGGGCAAGAAGTAAGCATCTAAGCATTACGTGTATTTAAGAATGTATGTGTGATTCTTATCACATTTTATTAAATACGCATAATAAAATATTCAATAAACTAAACATGAACATATTATATTTTCCTGATATATTTAATTATCTCAGAGTAAAATATATTAAATTGAATTATGATATGCTTAGACTCCAATTAATAAAATAAGAAATTAAATAAATTCGTTTTAGGATTCAGACGTATAGGCTCATGTTCGGATTGTGTAACCTTCCCGCTTACGACCTAAGCCCACCACAAAAGTGGAAACAGCAATACGCTTATACCATTTATTATTATCATTGTTTAATAAGTATATTGCTTACACGCAACGCACATGCACTAAGTTAGAAAACTAGCTTATTAAATGTTTATTTTATTATAATTCTGGGGTTTTACCGGTAATACAGATTTTAATTTAGAAGGCTTTCATAATTATAAATTTGTCATATCATAAATTGAAACATAAATCTAAATAAATGTTTTCATATAAGATATTCGTTAGTAATCTATTATAGCATTTCGCATATTATTGTGGTGTATTTTCTTTCAGTTATATTTTTCATTCCTTCGTAGTAGATTACAAATTAGTACTCAAAAGTTTTCATTTAACATTTGCTCCTTCTCTGTTCATTTACGTTCTCTGGCAGCACAGATTTGCAGTATTAACATTTCTCTGGGTCGCAGCAAGCCTTAACGAAAAATTCCATAAAATCGCATGCAATTTTCAGGTACGTCATAAGGAGAAACCAATTTTCACCCTAAAATGTTGGACATGCCGCATTCCACCAGCACCAGAAATCAGAAACGACGCACGTTGTGCGCTAAAAGTGTTGCCTCTTTAAGGCGCATAATGGGCAATACAGACAAGCGGCTATAACGCCAGTAAACGTTTATTATTGTATTAAGACATTTAATTGCAATTAATCGCTTTAAGAAGACTTTTCCTATGCTTTTCGTTGCGTATTTATTGCAATATTTTACTTTATTTGTATTCTCATTTCTCTCTGCTATAAATATATTTTTAGGCTCCTTGCCGGACATTAGCAACACCGTCAATCTCTCGCTGTTTGGGTGGACCCACACGCCGATATCAACCTGCATAACACTCGGAATCTGGTAATATACGGCATGCCCGTCTCGCTTTCTGCTCAAGGAATTACGTGTCTTCTGGCAGCATGCGAAACTCGAACAAACGGCACCGGTTTGGTAAGTCGAAAATAAACCAGAATTGTGCTCAACTGAAATACTTACTGGTTAATATACAATACTTGATAAGTCGCATTTGTTATTACCGCGCGTAGTTTACTAAGCTATACATTATCAGCTGCGGCGATAAGAGCCGTTTAAAAAAGTTGAAGAGCAAAGAAAACTATTTTTTGTTATTGTTTATTCTCACATGTGTTTATTCGCTTGACTTTTCTTTATGAAAGTAAAAATAATATAAGTTCAAAAATATGGTATGAGTGTATGCTGCAAGTGGCGAGCAGGAGAGGTGAATGTTTGCTTTTGTGCCAAAAAAATCCTTCGAAGTGCCTCTCTTCACAAAAATTACAGCTGGTGTGAAACTTTTGGTCCTTACGCAGCTCGAAATTGTTGTTCAGAAGATAATATATTCTTTGAACAATTTTGTGAATAAACGGTGTAATGTCTCTGTTCGATCAATTGTAGGTTGCTCTAATTCCCGAACGCGACTGAGAAAGAGAAGCCGCTCGTCTCTACGGTAATATTTTTATAACATTGAAATTGCGTTCGATGTTTTAATATTCTTACTTACAAATTACAGAAAGATTGGAGACATTTTCAATTTATTAGTAGCTTTTAAGCAATCTTTACCATATATCTAGTATTTTATAAAAACATTTACTATAAATATATCACAAATTGTTTGGATTTCATACTTTGTACGTCGCATGTTACATTCGCAGTCTTATCAGAAATATACACAAATACATATATAAATATTAACACTTAACGCTATTTGTCTTGTTTGAATATCATATACATTTATTTAATTGGAAGCTATTGATTTCATAATCTTTTTTCTATTTAAATGTTATTACTACAGCTCAAGAATACGTTGTATAGAAATTGAAAAGTCAAATGAACATATTAAAAGATTATTATTACTATTTAAAAAAATTATAGTAATAAAGTAATAAATTTTATACAAAATAAGTAATAAAACTATTTTATAAACAAAAATAAATTTTATAAACAAAATAATTTATAAAAATAATATTTTATAAAATTAAATTTAATAAAAATAAAACAATTTAAAAATATAACTATTTAAAAAGTATTATATAAAATAGTAAAATTATTTTATAAAAATTAATTAAATTATTATTCAAATTAAAAATTATTAAATTACATTAGATAACATAAAATATAATGTGATCATATGCTAAAATAATCGGTTATGAAAAATAGTACAAATAATAAAAAATTTCATTTTAATGTATAAATGTATTAAGCAGTGTATGAATACAAATATAAAAATACTACAAAAATATAATAAATATTTTATAAAAATAAAATAAATACTTAAAAATATATATACAAAAAAATTAAAATATTTTATAAAAATTTTAATTATTATTCATATAAAAATAATTATATTAAATGACATAAAATGTGATGATCATATGCTAAAAAAACGATTTTATAAATTAAAATTGCTAAAATATATACATACATAACAAAGGAAAAATATAATAATAATTTAAAAACAATATAATAATATTAAAATAGTAATAGTAATAAAAAGATCAATAGCTAAAAATAATTAAAAAAAGGATTAATAATTAAAAGAGTTTATTAATAACAGTTATAAAAACTATTGAAAATGTAATTATTTTATTTTTGTAAATAAGTATAAAAATTAAAAAGTATTAATGATTAAAATAATTAAAAGATTCATTATTAAAAACTATAAAAAGTAATTAAAAGGATTATTAAATTAAAATTAAAGATTATTAAATTAAAAATTAAAAAGAATTATTAAAAATTAAAAAGTATTAACAATTACAAAAAAGTATTAAAAATTGAATAAAGTATTAAAATTAAAATAAAAGTATTATTAAAAATAAAATTATTAATATTAAAAATATTAATAGTTTAAAAATATTATTCATAGTAAAAATACAAAATTAAAAGAAATATTTATTTTATTGTATTTTTGTAAATAAGTATAAACAATCTAAAACTTTTATATTTGGCAAACAAATTATATATATAACCTATGAGATAAATGATAATAAAATTCGGACTAATAAGAGCGCATTTAAATATATACAAAAATAGAAAAATATGCAATATGAAAAATTTTCTTTGAATTAAATATATCATATCATAAATAAAACAGAATTTGTTTTCTTAAGCTGCCTGCATTTAAATAACACAAATTTATTTTTAAATAAAAATAATATTTTATTTTAAATAAAAATAATATTTTGTAAATATATATTTTTGTTATAATTTATAAAATCACAAAACCACTAAATTTCAAAACAAAATGTCGTTGCCTAACAGTACTGTGACGAATGCTGCTGAAAATAATGAAATAATTATTTGTTCTAAAATCAAGTACAAATCACGCATAAAATAAGTAACACTATAAATATAATAATTAATTATATAGTACATGTCAATTAAACAAGTCTAATTAATCGAAATAATACAATTATCTCTTGTTAAAAATACATAGTTAGCTAAGAGCATAACTTAAAAGCTTTAAACTGTTTGCGAAAAAATAGTTTAAATCTCATTCGGTGCTTCAAATAAAAACACATCGTTTGCTAGAACTAATAACGAAGAAATATCAGTTTTTTGTTTTTAAAGACAAGAAAAATGCGACGATGTCGTTACAAAGCCGCTAACGGTTGTAGTAAAATCAAAGAAATGAAGAGCGCTTCATTAGTTTTGAAAATGTTGTAAATTGTAGCGTATGCGCTGGTATAATTTCGAAAATTTGCAAATATATATTTTATTGTTGGTTTAGTATAACAAAGCAATCAACAACTTTGACGCTGAAGTGTTATTTCGTTTGTTCGAATTTTTGCGCTAATCTGGCAACTGTCTAACTTTTAAGCCATTTATTACAATAATAAGTATAATGATGTAGCATATTGAACTTAAAATTACAAAAGTTAGATAAATGTACAAAGAGAAAATGGTTACAATGGTTATTTGTGTAGCTAGTAACGAAAGACGAAATATAGCAGATACAAAATTAATTGAAATTTTACATTAATGTGGAGCGATAACCGAACGCATATGCATAGATTTGTGTATTTTAATATTTGTGATTAACTAATATTTTGATTACTTTCAATATTTGTAAAATTTTTATAACTGGCAATATATTTTTTGCTAACATCGCTCTATGAATTCACAACTCGCTGTTTGGGTTGGCGATAAGTGATAGATGAATGTTTATGCTTGTCTTAATTTTGCTATTGCCTTAAGCTTTGTAATGTTTCATAACTTCATTGACAGAAAAGAAATTATAAAAAGTCTTACAATCGCTTACAAATTATGCACTAAATTTTAAATAAAATTTTGTTTACTAAAATATAATAATACAATGATAATTAATAATAATAATTAAATACTTTGACGTGAGCGGTTGGCGTTCAAGAAGTTCAAATAATCTGGATACATATTTTTATTTATATTTTGTTACTGTGAAAATTAGCACACAAACACCTGTAAATAAACAAATCAGAATTAAATTAAAAATATTACAATACAATGTTTTGCAAAATGTACTGCTAAGTAATAAATCAGTTGAATAGAAGAAATACAAACCGAGCGTTTAGTTTTATTTTGACTCATTTAACGGTTGACTGATTTGAGAAAAACGAAAAAGTTTATAATTGGCATTCGGTAAACAAAACAGTGTTGATAACGTATTTTTAATTTTTGTTTGTTTCGTTTTCTTTTGGCTACTATGTAGGCGCACATCCAAAAGAATACCAATAATGGGTGTTGTTGTTAAGATATACGCAACGAAATTCATAGGGAGAAAATCAAACTATAAATAAAGAGCTGAATGAAATATACAAGTCATAAGCCTAATTAAAGAATGATATGCTAATTTTCAAAATATGAAAATTATAATAACTATAAGTTTACTTACCGAAAATATACAATACAGTTATACAATATACGGTTACATTTACAAAACTAGACTCAACAAATGCGTGAAAACGTAGGAAATACCGCTGTAATTATTTTCTTTCCTATAACTATACGCCGTGTTGCCTTTGATTATTAGCGCATTGTATAGTGACAGCTGAAAAACTGAAAATTTTTGGACAAAATTTACTATACAAACAAAGATACAGAACTTGCACAAAAAATACAAGAACAAATAACTGAAAAATCGCTTAGCATTGGTTGGTAGATCGATAATTGGTGTTTACAATACACTGTACAGAATATTGTCAACACGTATGAGGTGAGAAAAAAATAAATACAAGAAAGGTGAGCACAACTAATTTTTGCAGCACATTTATATACACCCACTTACTGAGGCAGGTTTTATATTAGAAGAAATGAAATTTAAGTTTTAAAATCGTTTTAAAAATTATTTAACCCATTAGTGACTTGTGACATTTTAGTATCAAACAAAACACAATTAGACTTAAAGCTTTAGCCATTGATGGATCATTATAATAAAAATACTAAAATAAATTAATCTGTCATGTATCATTATAATAAAAACAAGAAAAAACGTTAACTTCGGTTGCACTGAAGCTACAATACCCTTCACAAACACATATGCTCCTTACAAGCACTTGATTCCAATCGTTCAGTTTGTATGGCAGCTATATGATAAAGTGATCCGATCTAAACGATTTCTTCGGATATTACATTGTTGGCTTAAGCAATAACACATGCCGAATTTCGTGAAGATACCTCGTCAAATAAAAAAGTTTTCCATACAAGCACTTGATTCTGATTGCTTAGTTTGTATGACGGCTATACGCTATAGTGGTCCGATATCGGCCATTCCGATAAATGAACAGCTTCTTGGTGAGAAAAGTACGGATACGGATTTTAGATCGTTGTCTCAAAAGCTGAGGGAATAGTTCGCATATATATAGACAGACAGACAGACAGAGGGGCATGGCTAAATCGACTTAGCTGTCTTTTATGTATATATATTTTATATGGTCTCCGACGTTTTCCTCTGGGTGTTACAAACTTCGTGGCAAACTTAACATACCGCGTTTAGGATATAAAAAAATTACAATTAAATGCATTAATGTCTTTGCTGACTTACTTATATAATCATAATATTCATGTTTTTTTCCCCCTAAATTGCTATGTGCATTTTGGAAATTGTTTTTGAATTTTAAAATAGATTTTGAAAAATTGATATGTATTGTATTCGCATTGAAAAATATTGTGTTTAAAACAAGTACCTTATTAATTAAATCGAATAATTAATATAAATATATATTATATACAAAATGATTAAAAAAATTTTTAAAAATAAAATATCTTTTGCTTTCATTTTGAGTGTAAAATCTAGCTAAAACGTCTAAAGCAAGCTTTCTCTACCGTGGTTTAATGTTTCAACTAATTTAAAATGTCCGTAATGGGTTAAAATATTTATTTTAGTAAAATAAAAAGTTGTTCGAAATAATTATGGCAAATTAGTTTCGAAAACAAATCTCAAGTAAAAAGCTGCTTAGAAATTAGTTTGATCACACGAACTTGACCGTGTACAGGAAATAAATTGCTGCCGCGAAAATTGATTTAAAAACAAAATACCGGCTGTTTTTTTGCAGAGACTCACAGGGGGTATTACTTAAAAACAAACCAATGAGCTGAAAACCACAAAGCGAAGCAACCTAAAAGTAAAAAATCACTAGCGAATTCATTTTTGGTACGCTGCTGACAAGTTTAACAATGCTATCAAAGGAAAAGTTAGAGTAACTAAAATCCAAATTAATACAGAAATCAACGGAAGAGAAAAAAATGTGATACACATATCTAAAAAACAAAGAGTTTAGAAAAATCAATTAAAATGAAGTCAGAAATTAGTATTTGAAACAAACGAGACAAGAACGTAGCGGAATTTATAAGAATTTTAAGAGATGAAAAATCAACAATGAAAATATAAATCGTTTGAGAGTAATTATGAAATCAACCATAAACACAAACAAATTCAGAGCGTAAAAGAAGTAAGTGAATTTAAACCAAACCACACGATTTCAAAAAATCGCCGTCTAACAAAACAAAAGTGCTGGACGCCTAACAACAACACAACGACTGCATACAAACTTAGAAGAGAACAACACAAAAGTAAACAGAATATTACACAAAACCCAATTTAATGAAAAAAATGCGCAGAAAACGAAATCATGGCAACCAGAAAGGTGTAGTTGTAGAAAAAAAGCATTAAAATAATAAAATAAATGGAATGAAAATAAATTAAATTAAAATTAATTTCATTTAATTAAAAATTAAAACAACGCTGAATCGAAACTAATGCAACCACAAATCTGTAGTCTTTAAAAAAGTATTAAAATTAAAATAACATTAAAAAAATTTAAAATATTGCAAAAATTGTTTATTAAAAATCTGTAGTTATTTAAATTAAAAATCTTTTTAGTTAAAAAAATTAAAATTATATTAATTTATAAAATAAATTTAAAAATTAATAATTTTTATAAAAATTAAAAAAAGTAGTAATAATTAAAAATTTTAATTAAAAAAACTGTAGTTATTTAAATTAAAAATCTTTTTAGTTAAAAATTAAAATTATATTAATTTTATAAAAATTTTAAAAATTAATTATTTTATAAAAATTAAAAAGTAGTAATATAAATAAAAATTTAAATATTGCAATAAAATTTTTATTCAAAAAAATTTTAAAATATTAATTAAATTTAATTAATTTTTATAAATAAATTTAAAATTTAAATAATTTTTATAAAAAAAATTAAAAATTGTTTTTTTTTAATTAAAATCTGTAGTTCTTTAAAAATAGTAGTAAAAGTTAAAAAAAAAAATTACGAAAAAAAATGTTTAATGCAAAAAAAATTTTAATGAAAAGAAAAATGTTAAAAGAAATTATAAAAAAAATTAAGAAAAATAAAATAAAATAGTTGCAATAGAGTAAAAAAAAATATTGAAAACGGAGCTACATCGAAACTAATACCGGAGTGAAAATACATTAGAAATATCACTTGTAATATTTGTTGTTAAAATAAATGAAGAAAAACTCATAATCGTATTTTGAAACACATTTATATGTAATATTACTTTCATTTTGGGTTTTTGGTTAATTCTTTTTTGGTTTTGCTTATAATTTAACCGCTAGAATAATAATAATTATTATTATTATAAATGTAATCATAATATTTCTTTAATATATGTAATAATAAATTGCATTAAATATCATTTTGGTTAAATGTGTATATAGAAATGAATAAATTAAACTTTATAAACTTATATAATGTCTTTGTTTAATATCAATATTTTGTTAAAATTAAGTTTTGTCAAGTTCTTTTAGCTTGTTGATATTTTTGCACTTCTCATTTTTCAATAAAAAGTCATATTTTTCTTCAAATATCAAATGTCTAATGTTCAAATAACACAAAGATTTTTCTTAGAAAAAAGTTTTTGAAATGTTAAAACATTATTGTTGAGTATTTTTCTTTGTTTTTTTTTTTTTTTTGGTAAAAGCAGAATTCTTACTGTAAATATTGCAAGTATAACTTCTGCCATAATACGCATATCAACCATAATTTAGCACTAAAACTTTGCTTTGGAATGTTTGAAAACAAAAGAAACTTGTAAAATTCGTTTCGCTTTTTGTTTAAGGAAAATTTTCGTTATTTTGCTATTTATTACGTTTTTGACTTAAATATTTCTTAAGGGTTTAAGTTTTTCCAGACTTTGTTTTTGCATTTTGACTAGCATTGGAATGATTTTTAACTTTCAGTATCAGCATATATATTATATATAATTTGTTTTATTAATGCTACACAAAAAAAAAATTTGTTTGAATTCATAAAAGAATTCGATTTGCGAGATCATTTAGCCTTTTAGAGCTGGTTTGACTAGAAAGAAAATTCACAGAATTTTTCAAAAATAATGAAAAAATTATAAAAAAAAACAGTTGCCTATATACCTATGTATGTATGTATGAATGCGCTACCAAAACAAAAGGTGAACAAACAATTTGTAGACGAACACGCGCATTTAGTAGAAACATATTACATACATACATATATGCTGCTAGCGCTCAGCAGTTTGAGAGTAGGCGTGAAGTAGAAGGGAGCCAGTGAGTATGTTGAGAAAGCGCTGCCACAAATCAACACAGATTAAACAATGTGTTCGACAATGCAGAATAAAATCGGAAAACAAAACAAAAAAAAAACGGAAAATCAAACCAAATGAAATGTAACATATGTGACAAACGAAAACCAAAATAGTAGATACAACAAAAATTAACCAACCAACGAAATATTGCTAAACAACCAACGTAAAACAAAGAGAGAAAAAGTAAGAGAATTTACAAATTGGTAGAAGTAAATAAAGCGGGATACTTTTTTTGCTGTGGGGATTGGTAAAGTGAAGGAGGCTAAAATAACGCAACATGAGAGCGCGTTGCACACGTAACGCGAGTAACGAATTGCAAACAAATTTTTGTTTTATCATTTAATTAATATTGATGAAAAATTATTATTTTTTTTAAATATAATTTTAATAAAAGTTTTGAAAAAACTATATTTTAGTCAAAGTTTTGAGAAAACACGCGTTGAAATTCCTAGTCGCACGTTTTCAAATAAGATTGTCATTTAATTAATTTTTTTTCAGTACAATTTTAATGAAAATAATATTTTTTAAAAAATATTATATTCAAAAAATATATTAAAAAATATTATATTATATTTTTTAAAATAATTTATTTTTAACAATATATTATTTTAGTAAAAGTTTTGAGAAAGCACACGTTGAAATTCTTAGTCGCACGTTTTCGAATAAAATTATTTTTTTAATAAAATGTTTTTTTCAAGTCAATTTTTATTAAAATAATATTTTTAAAAAAATATTTTATATTTTTAAAAAAATAATTTTTTAAATTTCTACAATACTTTCAAACGCACTCGCGCGTAAATGTGCGTAACGCAAATAAAAAGAGTTAATGGAGAATATAAATCATAAAGGAAACGTAGTGGAAATCATGAGCTCATGGACACAAACTAATGATGATAATGACAATAATAAAATAAAAAACAAATTAAATTCAAAAATCAAAATTGATATTTTATTTAAGGTTAAAAACACGTTTTGTTGTTGTCAAAGTTTTAAAGTTTTTTTCGCTTCAAATATACGCGCATCAACCACAAGTATTAGCGCTTTTAACTTTTTCTTTCAATACAATTTTGATGTTTTGTGTGGGAAATACAAATTGAATTAAACTTTAAATGTAATTAAAATAAAAACACAAACTTATAATTAAAATTAAAAGTAATGATAAAGTTAAAATTTCTATTTAGCAATAATTGCTGTGTTAAAAATCGTATTTAGGGAAATCTGTTAAAATGTTTTTGTTCATATTTTTCGGCACAACTTTTGCACATCGAGTTTTACAAGGGGCACACACAAACTGCTTTTCGAAATTTGTGCGTGAAAATCAAGTTTACGTTAAGACAGGCGGGCTTTGTTTGGGAGCAAGAGAGCGCGTTGTGTGTCAAATTAAATTTTTGCTGTGCTGTACAAAACAGTTATAATTCGAAGTGAAAATTTTTGTTGCTAATGGAAAAATGCATACTTTTGTCGCTATGCTTGCCATGCGCTAGAGGCTATGAAAAAAATTATGTTTTTTTAAAGGTCTTACATGGGTTTCACGGCTGCAAAAAAACAAAAAAAAAATTGTATTGTCTGATTTAGTTTTATAACCTCTCTAGAATATTGTGCTAAATTCTCAAGTTGGTACCAGTAATAGTTTTGGAGACACAGCTTTGAAAAGTTGCGCGCTCGAGGTCTGGTGTATAGTCACTTAAAACTTTAAACGCGTTTTTGTCGAAACTGTGTTTTCAAAAAGGGTTTCAAAATTTCTCGAGAACTACTCAACCGATCTTAATAAAATTTTAGACGGGTCTTTGAGCTATCATTTACAAGGGCTTGAACGAAGAATTTATTTTAGTTCAATTACAACTATTTACAAAACAGAAAACGGCGAGAAATTTTCACCAAAATTTGCATGTTTTTGTAAAAACGTCTGCCACTTTTGATGATCCTGTCAGTAATTCTGGGGTCAACGCGAAAGCACCTTTTTTAACGAAGGATTGCCGGAAATGTCGTCGTAAAGACCGGGTTTTGAATATTTTGCTTTGAAAATTTCAGAAAATCTTTATCAAATATGTATCTGCGGAATAACAATAAAATATTTCATTTTTATATGAAAAAAAATGATTGAAAATAGTGCGTTTTTTGCTCGACGAAACCCATGAAACCCTTTAAGCGCTAGCGACTATGCAAAAAAAAATAATTTTTTTTTAACTTGGCATGTTACAGCAGCCGCACGATGAGTAATGCACGAATTAGCAAATTTCGTAGTATCAACCAACGTTTTATATATATGTATATAGTTTTGTTTGTGTGCTTGCCGCGACTTGAGTGATTAGTTACATAAACAAGAAGAGTTTAAAATGTCAATATGGTTATGTAATACAATTGAAACAAATAATAATAGTAAGAATAATAATTATAATATAAATTGAAATATAACATATGATAAAAAGTACACGTTGAAAAATATTAGAAATAATAGTAATTGCTGGCAAAAACTGCTTTGCGCACGCGCGCCGACTGCGTAGGCGTAAAACCTGCAAAAACTTTCAGCGCTTATATAATTTTGCTTGCTTAATTTTTTATTTTTGTTTTTTGTGCAAAAATTGCGCAAATTCAGCATTATGCAATTTTTGCTTTTTAAATTGCAATTTTGTATTTTTTTTTTCATTTTGTTTTTTCAATAAAATGCCAGCGCT